CTTGGAGTTCGAAACCAGAGAAAATATTCCCGAAGGAACTACAGCGTATTGTCTTATTCTACACGATCGTATCGTTCAGTATAATCCGATAAATGGAGATGTGAAGAAACTTATTTAGGAGACGGGGGGGGGGTATTAAAGAATTGACTCTTTCCTTAAGCAGCTCAGTAGTAGCTTTCTATTGCAATGGAGTACGTAGTGGATATGCAAGGCTTCATGATGCCTGGCAAAACTTATGCCGTGAAAGAGTTAGCGATACTCCCACTTAACTACAACGAAGAACCGCTCGTACGCTTGTTCAAACCTCCTTTTCCATGGCTAACGGAGAAATATAAGCGAGAAAATCTCTGGTTAGAACTCTACTATCATGGATTAACATGGAACTCTGGCGATTATAAATACGAAGAGCATAAATTCATCATCACAGATACACTCAAAGATGCCACAAAAATTTTCGTTTCCGGAGATTTGAAAAAAGAGTGGTTAGAACGATATGGCCTCAAAGTTTTCGATTTGAATGATTGGGGCTATTCGCCTTTCGAAAAATTAAAATCAGTTACCGTGTGCCCTAATCATAACGGCAAATACGTAACGACATGTGCACATCAAAACGTTAAAATAATGAAAAAGTTTTATATTGATGGCTGTTGTATGGATTGGGAAGAGAGCGATGAAGTCGTTGAAGGATTTCTATAGTGATTTTGTTTTTTAAGTAAATACTTTGTAGAATAATATGTATTTTTTTAAGAACATGTAGAATAAGATATATTTTTTATCAATAAAAAAATTTTGTTTCAATTGATACAAAAAAATATTCTTTTATTTTTTATTAAACCATCCAACAAAAAAAAAAAAGCGAAATTCTTCGCTGACTCTGACGATGACAGCAGCAGCAGCAGCAGCAGCAGTTCATCAACAAAAAAATTTATACAATATAGAATTTAGACAAAAAAATGTTTATTTATTAGTTGAGGTGGTGTACAATGATGACATGTTTAAATATGATTATTTCTTCTTTTCGTTATTGAACTGCTGATAGCCTTTTTGTCCAGGAAAATTTTTAGTATTGCTCGAAAATTTGGAAATACTTTGTTTCCATGTCGATGATTCTTTGTTCTTCTTTTCGTCCGGGTCTTCCTGTGGAAGACGAGAGTACTTTACTTTAGAGTAGCGATCCATTTTATTGGAATGCTGGTTGATGAAAGATTCGATAATTCTTACACTGTGCTATTTATAGTAGCTTACAACCACGAAGTCTACAAATAAAAGAAAGTAAGCAGGTACTTGCACGTTTTTTTCTATTAAACCATCTTCGGTAGATGAGACACGCATGCACGCACACACGCGCACACACATCGAACATGAAAAAATTATTATTCGTTATATACTAATTATAATAAATATTTATTAAAATTTATTATCATTTGTATGTATTAGCGCTTGGGCCCTCCTCAGCAGCAGCAGCAGCAGCATCAGCAGCAGCCGCCGGCGCCGCCGCCCCCCCCCCACATATCAATCGCGTGTGTAGCCAGTATACACAATACGGTATTGCCCGTGGTAACAGTGGCTGTAGCTCTAGCGGTAGAGCATCGGCCTGCGGATCCGGAGGTCGTGCGTTCGATCCCCCGATCCGTCCGTTTTTTTTCAGATAAATCTAAAAATTTTTAACACGCGCGCGCGCACACACACACACACACACACACACACAATAAAACAATCAAAACGCGTAACACAGAACGCGCGCGCAGTGCATAGGAATTAAATCAGTGGGAGAGGGGGAAATGCAGAGAACGCACGCCACATCAGATCAAGCCACATCAGATCAACTCAGTAGGGGAGGGGGAGTGCGTAGAACGCACCGGTATAACTCAGTGGGAGGGGGGGGGGGAGGTGAGTCGATAGCGCACGGGCCGATCGGGGGGGGGGGGGTGAGGTGAACATGCACACACCTCAACTCGCACGCTTCAACTCAGTGAGCTAGTACCCCTCTGAGTTGATGCCCCTCTAGTTTACCTACTTATGCAACTTATCTTTCACTAGATCTAGAAAATATTTCCTCTATACTCATAAATACTCAAATAGACACTTATATTTGCCGCGCTTTCTCATTTAAAAAAGTGTCCGAGGATGACGTACGCAAAGCAATGAATGTCTCACTCTCTTTTGGTTAAGGATTTGATTATAATTGACAGGTAACAATTGCAAATAATAATGGTGTTCGTTTTACTTTACATGAACAGCCATCCCTAAAAAAAGGCCTTAAGTTCGAAAGTTGTAGACTTTTGTTCCCAAAAAACGACGGCCACTTATAAATAATTTTTTTAATGAAAAAATGTATTCATCAAAACTTTATTTGGAACCGACTCCATATTAAGAATCAAGAAAAGGAAAAACCATCCAATTGCCTCCGAGACAATAAAAAAGTTAAATTGAGAGATCGAACAATATTGTCGTATGATTCTACGGAAACTAGAAAAAGACCTTGGAATATCAAAAACTATAATTTGGAAAATTTTAATTACAAATGACACGTGTGTATGTGAACTTCTTTTCGAAATTGCTCAGTGCAGAGCAAAAAAAGCTCCGCTTAAAAATCGTTCGGTGTAGTAATGGTCAATAACGATGATAATGTGCTTAAAAAGGTTTTTACTATCATTAAATCATTAGATTATAGTTATGATCCTGAAACAAAATAACAGTCTTTGCAGTGAAAACACTCTGGATCGCCAAGACTAGAAAAGACACGGCAAAATCGGAGGAATGTTAAGTTGTCATTGATTATTTTTTTTCCGATTATGAAGGTATTATTAACCACGGATATAAAAAACAATAAAGAATATTACGTGGAAATTTTGAAACGTTTACACGAAGCAGTGAGAAGAAAATGTTTTGGTCAAGTGGTGACTGGCTTTTTTATTACGAGAATGTACCAGCGCATTTATCAAATCTTTTGCAGCAGTTCCTAAGTAAACACAGTATTGCATTGCTTCGATAACCTCTGTATAGTCACTACATAGTCCCTACTAATAAGATGCCAGGTATTATAACACTCATTTATTAAACTCTTTATTTCCTTTTTGTCCGTATTTTTACACCATAGCTAGAATATAATTGTGAAATTTTAAGTGAGCCTTGCCCACTAAATTTCATATTGGTAGTCTTAAATGTTAGGTTTAACGGGTATCTAACACCCAAGACTTAACAGTTCGATGACAAAACGACGATGGAAAGCAATGCGACAAGCGTATTTACGGCCATCCGTAAAAGTGAATTCCAGGACTGTTTTAAGAAATAGAAACATCGCTTGATTCACGTTATTCTATCAAGTGGAGATTATTTTAAAGGATTCCATTCATCCAATGATGAAGATTAACGCCAGTGTGGAAATATAAAAGTGGATTCGATACTTTCCTGATAGACCTCATAAAATTATCATACTATTTTTAAAGGGATTTTGATTTCTATTAACTGTCTCAGTCGCGATACGCATGCGAGTAAGTATGAAATAGCTATGATGCTTGATTGCATCTGACATTATATACAATAAGTTGGCTAATCAGGTCTCCACGAAAGTGTTTCGTTATCTTTATAGTTCCCACGCGTGATGTACTGATTCGTCTAATAATTAAATCCAAAGTCTACAATGTCATCTCGAATTTAAAAAAGTTATCGTTTGATTGTTCCTATTTCATAATTTCAGAAGAAAGTTATTTGAAATTTGGGGTTTTCTTGGACAACTTTTGTCATAGGTTTTATCATTAATTGAGTATTCTACTCATTTTACGTACAGTACTATGTACAATAGCTGAAATAACGCAATGTACATAACGTGCATATTAATTACATACTTTGATTGGTTTGTTTGGTTTGTAAAAATAGTTTAAATTACTAAAAATATTAGTACGTATAATAAAATATCAGTCACAGCTGGATGCCCGTAATGTAGGTGTATATTCAATGCACAAATTCAATACCTTAAAATCAGAATGTAATAAACTGCTCGTATTAAAGATCTATCAATTTGTAATTATTAATATAATTTAAAAATTTATGAAAGATGACCATCGGCGATTCACAAGAAGTAAAACTTATATGCAAGTTGGTTGCTACTAATACTTAGAGCCTAGAGACTATATTACAAGTAAAATTAATTTTGTAGTTGTAAGTAGAAAAGAAAAACTTTTTCTTGTAATTTGCAGACTATGAAATCAATATTGTTCAACTTATAACTAACCATTGATTTTTTTTAATTTGTAAAAAGTATTAACAAATTTTCTATACAATTAATGCAGAAAAGATACAATGAAGAAACCCAAATAAGAATCTTCAAAAACTTACCAGAAATTCATGTAAAGTATAATTGCAAGTGCAGTATTGTAGTAACAATCATAATTTCGGATCAAAAATTGATTAATTGTTACTTTCGACTGAACTATACTATATTTTATACAACGGCACTTAGATCTATTTTGTAATAGATTCTATAACGAATAATAATCGGAAAGAGACTGATTCACAAAGCTCTTAAATTATATATCTGTGTGCACCTTATTGATCCTTGATGAAAATACGAAAATACTCGTACGAGTACATCAGTACATGACAGAAGCTTTGTCAAGAAAATGTGATTATAATAATGTTGTCTTAATATTGTTTTTATAGTCATAAAATTATTGTACTCTATGTAGATAAAGCGGATCTATCTTTCACTATCTTTCTCATACCGTAAACATTTATTGAAAAAGCAGTTTGCTATCCACGTTTATACATTTTAATATCTATATTCTAATGAATTTTACTCGCTGGGAATATAATTCGCCGACATTGTGAATTTTAGATCCTCACGTGATATAACTATTTGTTCACCTTCATTTCCAATTACATCATGTACAATTGCATCAGCATTCAAAATAACATAGAAGACAAGTTTATTTTACGTCACCTATATAATAAGTAATATTCTGTTCCATATAATAATTATGTCTATCATTGTTACTTACATTTGGATATTTTTTACATATTGGTCCTATTTCTTCAAGATTGTCAAAAGAGCAACAAGCGGTAGTGCCTAATGTCGTCGATACAAAAAAGGGCACGTAACCAGCAGCTACATCAACTTTGATTGCCTGTAATAATTGAATCATTTCAATTATGAATATGATAAATATGATTAAAAAATAAAAAGTTATTTTATAAAATTTATGAAAAAGTTGATCGATCACGAAAATAAACAAAAATAGCAAAAGTGAAATATTTCATTTTCTACGTCTGTTCCTAACTTTAAATTGAAATATTAAATTTAAATACTATTAATTTAAATTAGTTAATAATTGTATAGATTTAAAAGATAGTCTATATATTGTAACAGGCTGCCGCCTAGCCGCAAACCTCGGGTAATAACAATCCTGAATACAGCCAAACGGTGCCCTGTTACCTGTGTGCTCCTAGCACACTTGCTCACCTTGTCCCGGCGTGCGCCTGCGCCGAGTTCTCTTACCGATTCAACCTGGGTTCGCGATCTCTCCGCCAGGGGCGCTGTTACGCCTGCATTACAGCGCTCCGTCGGCCACTGCTGACAACTCGGTTGTCGGGCAGCTTCTCTCGTTGCTTTCGTGATTCGTGCTAAATTACCGGCGCGTTCGAATCAAACGTAAACAATAACACCGATTTCGAACAAAGGGAAGACAAAATAACGAGATCGTTTCGTGTTAATCTCTAACCACTTTATTAACTCAAAACTAGTATAAGGGAGGGATTTGCCGAGAGACTCACGCACGCTATTTCGATATGACAATTCAACCGGAGAGAGAGAGAATGAATATCGGGGACGTCGCGGACTATTCCCACGCTCACTATCGATAAACTCACCGCGCTCGCTGCGCGGGATCGCACGCAAATATCAACAAATAGTGCAGTGCACCTACCGCGAAATCGAAGGGGATACGGTGGCCAACCGTATCCATTTAACGCTGGACGAAGAACTGCCGCTGCGCCTACTTCTCCGCCGGGGCTGTCTCGTTGCTGTTGATGTTGATGTGGTTGCTCTCGTCGTTGCCGAGGCCGCGCACGTTGAGCAGTGCGCGCACTCGGCACTTCACTCGTAGCAATTATCAACGGTGTCGGAGCCACACACGTTGCGCAGTGTGTACTCGTTTCACTGCACTGATTGTCGCTGACAGTTGTTGATGCACACGTTGCGCAGTGTGCACCCACCTCCACACTCACTACACTGTACTTAACTCCCTGAACCTCACTCGCAAACAAAGGACTCGATGTTGCCTCTAACTTGTATGCGATGTAGCCAGACTGAAGGACACAGTCATACTGGCTAGCTAACTCTCCCCTCCCGGTCATTGCCCCTAACGCGCCCTCTCTCTCTCTCTCTCTCTCAAACCGATCGCGGCTATTACGCTCAGCCGCTTAGTAACCCACGCGAGTCTAAAAGATTTTCGGCAATCGTTGCAGCCCCCTCCTAGCTTCGGACTACCGGGCCGAACTATTTTGCTGATTCGCGACCTTAAGGACAGGAGAGGGAAGGGGAGAAATCATTACACATCATTCTTACAAAAAACGCCTTTATTGCCCTCACCCGGGCCATCACCCTTCCACCTCATTTATCGGCGCCTCCTGGTGCCTTGTGCCGGGGGTAGCGCCAGTGTTCCGCCTTGTTCGGACACTTGGAGGTGGTGGTGATGCCGGGGTGTCCGCAAATATAACAGCCCCTCCGCTGTGACCTGGAGGAGCCGGACGCCGATCCTTGCCCGTGGCTCCCCACCGGCGGAGGGGGCTACGGGGTCGAGGTTTCCGGGACGGCGGTAAATGTCACGCTGCCCACCGTGGCGGAGGTGCGTCCGCCATGCGTGTGCACCACCACGGTAGGGTCGGAAACCTTCGACCCGTCCACGTGGACCGTGAACTCTTGTCCGGGACCGGGGGCCCCCGAGGCTCTCTTCGGTTGAGCCTGCGCCGGGGGCTTGCAGGAGTCTTGGCCGCGGGCTTACCTCCTGGAACCGCAGGCTGTACAGCCGCCGGCGGGCCCACGGCTTCTGGGGACTCCTGCCCCCGGTTACTCGCAGCAGGGCCTCGCCATAGGCCCTCTATCGCCGGACTACCGGAGTCCACTCCCCGAGCAACTCCCTGGCTCCCTGGTAGTCGAGGAATTCGTCCAGGTGCGAATGCACCTGGCGTTGCAGGTCCCCGACGAATTCCCAGGCGTTCTCTAGCTCCTGGAGGCCCAACCTCACGTGCCTCCAGGAGTTCTCGAACCCCTGTTGCTCGGGAATGCGGGGGTGGTTGCAGACCCACTGCCCCTGGCCACAGGCCTCCTTTGGCACTGAGTCGAGCCGTCGGCCACGGCGGGCTTGCGCGACTCTGGGGTCTGCACCCCCTGGTCCATCGTGGACATAGACCGACGGCCCTCTTCTAATGGACCGTCGGTCTGGGTGGACCCCTCCCGGGTTGGCGCCTTCCTAGGCGGCGGCCTCAACCCTTCCCAGAGGAAGTCGTCCACCCGCTGGCGTGGGCGGTCCTCCCGGGCAGCCACCGCTACCTGAGCCCGGACGAAACTCCAGACCTCGCCGATCTGCCGATCAGCGTCCGGGCCCAGATTTAGGTCGAGCAGCATCCTGGTGGATACCTCGAAGGCCTCCTCGCCAATTACCAGCTTTCTCTCCATCTGCAAAAGAGAAGAGTGCGGTCAAGGGATATCTCAGGTTTGGACCTTAACCTACCCGTCGTTGCGTCACGCTTGACGCTACATCTTACGAGAACGTCCCGGTCCCCCGTGCTTCGCTAGCGCGTGTGACTTATCGGTGAGGGGAATTGGCAGGGCAACCTTCCGCACGAGCTTGGCGGTTTTACGGGGCCTGCCCCTTCCCTTTGGTTTCTCACCTTTCGGGTCACTGCTACCCGACGCTTGGGGCACACTTTCGGGGTTTTTGCGCGGTCTACCGCGGCCTCGCTTGGCCGGCGCCTCAGTCTTTGGAGCCGCTATGGACTCATCGCACGCATTCGCGGGGGCTGCTACTGCGGTGCTCTCACCCATAGGATCCCCGCTGGGACTCTCGATCTTCGTGGACGGGTCGCCTGCGCCCTCCTCTTCGCCTTGCGGCGTTGAATCTCCTCGTCCCGGCTCCTACTCATCTTGATCCGAGAATGGGCCGAAATAGGGCTTGAGGTCCTTGGCGTGGACCAGCTCGGGCAATACCTCCTGCTGGTTACCGAGAAGGTAGGTATTGGTCCCACATACCTCCTAACATATGGACCAGCATACTTCGGCTCCAACTTCGCCGATACGCCCTGAGCTGCGGAAGATAGGATACGGTTCCGTTTCCACACCCAGTCCCCAACCCTAAAATCGGCCTGACGTCTCCTCTTGTTATAGTAAACCGTCTGACGATCTGCCTCCTCCCTGGACTTAGAGCCAGCGCGTTCCCATAAATTGGGCAATAGGCGCATGTGCTCACACCACTCGGTTAGTTCCTGGCCCTCGGAAGTTTCTCGGGCTTGCTGATCTTGGGCCCTTCTAAATGTCGAGGGAGGAGTCGGTTGTCGTCCGAAAACGAGCATAGCCGGGCTATAGCCTATCGCGCTATGAGTTGCCGAGTTCAACGTGAAGTTGAACTCTGGCAGGTGCTCGTCCCAGCTCTTATGATCACGCTCCATGTATGATATGAGCATGGTCTTGAGGGTTTTGTTCACTCGCTCCGTGGGGTTGGCTTGTGGATGGTAAATTGGAGTGAGGGCGCGCCGGATGACGTTCCTCAGCAAGTAGGCATCGACATCCTGATTCTTATACTCGGTTCCATTGTCCGAAAGGAATATCTCGGGCGCGCCGAACCTGGTTACCACTCTCTCGTGGAACTCCCGCACAATGGTCCTTCCATTGGCCTTGCGTATGGGTACACACTCAACCCACCGAGTAAACAGATCTAAAAAGACAAAGATATACTCAAACCCTCTTGAGCTCTTTGGGAATGGGCCCGTAATATCGCTGGCCACCACCTGCCAGGGTCGTGAGACCTCTCGACGACCCATTACCCCGCAAGGCGGCCTTTGTTCCGCCTTGCATTTTTGACAAACCGGGCAACTCCTCACGTACTCTCTGACCTGCTCGTATATCTTAGGCCAGAAGTACAGGCGCTTAGCCCTAGAGAACGTCCGTTCTCTACCCTGATGGCCCGCGGCTGGTGCATTATGTACCTCTTCCAGCACTTGGTGCCTTTACTCAGCGGGAACCGCAAGCTTCCAGGCTTCCTCATTATCGATGGACCCTTCGCTATCTTCTGTCGGATTGGTAGGCTGAGAGTGGGGATCCTGGCATACTTCTCGGTACTTCTGCAAATACCAGGCATCGGCAGTTTCCGGCCGATGCGTCATGGCACCCACTTCTACCACCCCCTCCTCATAGGCCCTAGACAAAGCGTCTGGCACCACGTTAAGGTCTCCCTTTCGATACTCTATATCAAAAACATCTCCCGGCAGTGCTAACGCCCAACACGCTAGCCTTCCTGTAGGATTCCTCATACTGTGGAGCCACCTAAGGCAACTATGATCGGCAATGAATTTGAAGTGGTGCCCCTCGCCATAAGGCCGGAACTTCCCGATAGCCCATACCACGGGCAAGCACTCTCGCTCGGCGACTGTGTAATTCCTTTCCGCACTATTTAAGGAGCGACTGGCGTACTCTATGACGCGCTCCTGTCCATCGATTTCCTACGTCAGTACGGCGCCGATCCCGCTATCGCTCGCGTCCGTTTGCAACACAAACTGTCCGCTGGGATCCGGCGACTGCAAGATTGGTACAGAGACCATTGCGTCTCGTAGCCTTTCGAAAGCTTGCTATTGCTCCCGCTGCCAAGCAAACTGGACGCTCTTTTTTGTCAGGCGGTTTATCGGCTCAGCGATTGTCGCGAAGTCGGGTATAAAGCGACGATACCACGACATCATCCCCATAAATCGCTTCACCTGCTTGATGGTCCGTGGTGTTGGGTACTCCATAATAGGCTTGATCTTCTCCGGATCTGGCCTTACTCCTTCACGGTTCACAAGGACCCCTAGATACTTGACTTCCGATTTACAGAAGTGGCTCTTGGTCTTATTTACAGTGAGGCCCGCACCCAGAATT